ACTTTCTCACCAGCCAGAGAATAAAATACTCTCATGTCTTGTGTCAGCCGCGATGTGTCAACAAGATTAATAGCTGTCAAAAAAATAAAACAGGGCAGGGTCTGATTCTAGGAGTTTCTCTTATGGAAAGGGCTCAGGGGATCAGAGCCTTAATGTTTGCTCAAAGAGAATACTTAAAATAAGATTGGGTGGTTATGAATGAGAAGAGAGGGAAGTGGAATGCATCCGGGTAGAGATGGTTTTGAAAGCTGATGACAGATGTTTCTAAAAGCCCCATGGCCGGCTGAACTGAGGGCATCCTAATTAGAGATTTACAACTACCCTAACATAAGATGCCACAAACAGCATGGTAACATGTTTGAGCACGTTTGGTGTAGTGGTTAAGTGTGGCAGATTCTAATCTGGAGTTTGATTCCCCACTCCTCCACATGAAGCCAGCTAGGTGACCTTGGGTCAGTCAAAGTTCTCTCAGAGCTCTCTCAGCCCCACCTACCTCACAGGGTGTTTGTTGTGGAGAGGAGATTGGAAGCCACTCTGAGATTCTGAGTGAAGGGTGGGGCATAAATCCAATCCCTTCTTCTCTTCTTCTTCAGTAGGTGGACTTGCATTTTTTGTTGTTCAGTCGCAGAGCCGAGTCCAACTCTTCGTGACCCCATGGACCAAATCCTGGCAGGCCTTCCAGTCATCTGCCGTCCTCTGAGGTTTGCTCAATTTCATGTTCGTTGCATCGATGACACTGTCTAACCATCTCATCCTTTGCCATCCCCGTCTTCTTTGACCTTCAATCTTTCCCAGCATCAGGGTCTTCTCCAGTGAGTGCTCCCTTCTCATTTGGTGGCCAAATGACTTGCATTTACGCATTTGCATTTATTTATTTATTTATATCCCACTCTCCCCAGGTGGGACTCAAAGTGGTTTTTATCACATTGCTCTCCACTCCTTTATTTTCTCACAACAGCCCTCTGAGGTAGGCCAGGCTAAAAGTCTGTCGTGGGCCCAAGGTCACCCCATAAACTTCCATGGTAGAAGTGGGGATTTTAACCTGAGTTGCCCAGGATCCTAGTCCACCACTCTGTCCACTACACCACACTGGCTTGACAGCTGCAAGCACTCATGAGCTAAATATTCAATCTTGTTGTCTGTCTCCTCGCTGGCTTGAAAGGTTCTCAAGTAGCTCTGCAGCTGTACAGTAGGACCATTTCCACAGTAAGGAAATTCCCCACATTAACATTTTTAAAACTGTGTGTTGTGTGAAATTTTCAACCTTGGATTTTTCCTCACCAGGTTCAAACCCGATGTTTTCTTCTTTTTACCCTGTGTTTTTGGAATCCCCAGTTTTAGTGAGTTCTGAAAACACGGGGTAAGATGAAGAAAACTTCAGGTTTGCACCTGGTGAGGAAAAATCTACTGTGGAAAATTTCACATAATGCACAGTTTTAAAAATGACAATGTGGGGAATTTCACTACTGCAGAAATGGTCAAGTGTCCTTTCCTTGGATTGCAGGAGCTTTGACGTCTAAGTGCTAGGAGAGATGATTCTACTCAGGGTCATGAATGATTGCATTGAGTCATTAAATGGGGGGGGGGACTGTGTCTCCATGAAGCTGTACAAAAATGCCCATTTGCAAAATTCCCACTTTTCACATCCTCTGTGTGGGGCCTTCCTCAAATCCAAACTTCAGCTCCACCATGCTTTTCCCCCCTAGCTGCGTTATGGAGACCTTGTAAGGTTTTCAAGGCAAGAGACGTTCAGAGGCGGTTTGCCATCACCTGCCTCTGTGCCACAACCCTGGTGTTCCTTGGAGGTCTCCCATTCAAATATGAGCCAGGGCCAACCCTGCTTAGCTTTTGAGATATGATGAGATCAGACTAGCCTGGGCTATCCAGGTCAGGCTACCCAGCATGCTAGGCTAGACCTTGCCTATCCCACTCTATCCTCTTCCCTGAAAGGTGTCACTTCTAACAGCCATTAAGGAAATCTGAACTCTCTAGGCAAAGAGATGTGGGTATGGCAGTGAAGAAAGAATAGAAATATAAAAAATGACTGCCTTTTTCTAACTACGGTCAAAGGCGTTTCCTTTCACCCTTCTGCTCCAGGAGAGAAACAAAAAGAAAAGTTCAGGGAAGAGGCTTTGAAAAACTAAATGATCTGAACATATCAGTGACATGCTAAAGGAAGTGTTGTATGGGTTGACAGAGAGGCCTAACCTCTAATCCAAGCAGATAGTGTAATCAGTAGCAATACAATATAACCCTTGAAGATATTCTTACAAATATTTGATTGAATTATTCAAAGCCCAAAGTTTTAAATTGAAAATTGGGTATGGCCAGGGGTCATTTCGTAGAAAAAGAGCTAGGGGAACTCATTAGCATAACTCATTAGCATATGCCACACCCCCTGACATCAGGGGCCCGGCGGTGGACCTGCAAGGCCAGCGGGAATACGAGGAAGCCCCGCCAAGGCCCTCCCTGGCCCCAGGCAGGCAGGGGTGGGGAGAGGCGGGGAGGAAGCAACTTACCCTCCCTCTTCTCCTGCCTCCTCCTGGCTGAATGAGGGCTGGAAGCGGGGCGGATGGAAGCAGAGGGCGGGACTTCGTCATGTGCCCCGCCCCCTGCACCTCACCTGGGGGAACTGTGTTCCCCCACGTTCCCCCCCGAAATGACCTCTGGGTATGGCGCTTCCTTCATGGTTACTTATGCATCTCTCTCTACACAAATTCCACCTTTAGGTTTGATTAACTACTGTGCTAAGTAATCCCCAGTCCAACTGAGCCCATGCTGCAGTGTAGTGCCTATATTTTGTGATAATTAGCTGCCTTGGACTGGTTCCATGGACAGGCTGTGTAGAAATTTTCTAAATAAATAATCTCAGACCGGTTTGGAGAAAAGGGTTTTGTATTTATCTGTTTACTTTATCTTGCCCATCATATCCCGAAGGTTCGGGATTGGTAACTTTTTCAGATAGGGTTGCCAACCTCCAGATGGTGGCTGGGGATCTCCTGGGATTTCAGCTGACCTCCAAGTGACAGAGATCTGTTCCCCTGGAGAAAATGGTCACTTTGGAAAATGAACTCTATGATATTGTACCCCATTGAAGTACCTCCCTTCCACAAACCATGATGTCATCAGGCTTCACCCCCCAAATCTCCAGGTATTTCCCAACTCAGAGCTGGCAAACCTAATTGCAGGACTAATTCTCATGAGACATTTTATAATCTCTATATAATAATCCTTTTAGCGTCTTGACCATTTCCAGCTCTCCCATTGGCTGTGCAATGTGCTCCATCAGCCATTGGCCCATCAGCTACCACTCAAGAGTACTTGCATGCCATTGGCTGAGTGCTGGGTTAGCTCCTCTTCCCCGCCCACTCCCACTTCAGCCACTGTTCCCTGTCAGAATAACTGACAAATGGCTCTCTCTCCTGACGAAGACACTTCTCCTGCTTGGCTCCTTTGTGGGACTAACTTTCCCCTCAGTGGCTGTTGGTAGGCAACCAAGCTTGGTTCTGTCAGTAAAAAGACAAAGGAAGGAAACCCTTTCCAGGCCTTTGTAATTCATTGGGGCCAGTTCTGACTAGGGTTGTCAGCTTCAGGTTGGTAGGCTGGAGATCACTCAGAATTACAACTGCTCTCTAGGGGGGAGGAGATGGAAAGCTGAAGTCAGAGGGCGGATAAAAGTAGGTTGATGGTTGGCTGGGAGGGAGATAGGGTTGACAACTCCAGGTTGGGAAATTTCCAGAGATTTGAGGGTGGAGCATAGAGAGGGTGAGGTTAGAGGAGGGGTGGGACCTCAGACAGGTACAATGCCATAAACTCCACCCTCCAAACCAGCTATTTCATGCTGAAATAACCTCCTTCTTGCTATTTTGCCTTTCACATTTATACTTGTGCATTTAAGGGATTATATTACTTTCAGTTGCTTTATGGTATGCTTCTGGCCTGAGAACTATTTTATTTGTATTATTTTAGGCTGCTCAGTGTGTGTTTTATGCTGCTTTTATGCCCTGGCTTTTTCATTTGTTTTTTAATGACTGGCTTAATGGATCTGTTTTGTTTTTAATGGCTTTGTTTTAATAGGTTTATTCTATTGGGCATATACATTTTCTTAATAAATATTTATTAAGTATAAGTGTTATAGTACAGTTAATGGATATCCAAAGAGGTGCAGCTTTTCCCAGGATGGCAATGCAGTGGTGGAAAATGTTTCATCAGGGTCTCAGGCATATCCCAAATCCAGTCTCAATTCAGATTCTACCATAGGCTGCTTTCATGTGGGTTTTCTCCCCCACATAGAGAACATAAGTCCCTAATTTAATGTGTCATATTAATAATTATGCTTTGCTTCACCTCTGGTTGCATTCAGATTACTACAAGACTGTTGCACTGTCTATTGTCTGTTCCACCCAATTGGTTGTATTGACTGTTTGATCCATTTTCAGTCCAAGAAATGGGAGCTTCCTCATGACAACATGCTCAATCTAAGCCTGACTTGTGTGCCTCCCAGGGCCTTTCCTTATGAGACAGATCAAAGGAAAATCTCCTTTTATCCAGTCCAGAGGAGGAACCATGAGCAGCTATGGGAAGAGCATCAATGTGGACAGTCTGCTCCTGGCCAAATTTTGGAAAGGGGTGGAGATAAGCTCTGCCTTCAAAATGGACCTAAGCTAAATTTCTCCCCCTTGTTGGTCATTGAGAGGACTCTTGCCCCCTCCACAGTTGATCCAGTGTAGTTCAGCTGGGAGGAGGAAAGAAGGGAAAGTATGGGGGAGTGGCTGGCACAAGAGGTGGGAGTGAGCAGCATCACCAAGCAGGGTAGAGATGGGGTGTATGGATTCTGTTCCTGTCTTCTGTCATGCCGAAAATTGCTGCTGCTGAGATAGAGGTGCTTGCTGCTACTTTCATGTACATGCAGTCATAATCACACTCCACAAGGATGATGGGTGAAGAGTGTCCTTAAAATCTGTTGATCTTTTACCTTACTCCAGCGCGTTTAAATAGAATTAATCCTCAAGGTAGTAAATACTGCTGGAAAGGCTTAGACTCTCTTCCGGATACCTGTGAGAGAAAAATTCAAAAGATATTAATTTCGACGCTCCTAGCTATTGCCAGAATAACCATCGCTCAAAAATGGAAAGGAAAGGCCAGCCCAGATCTATCAGACTGGCAAAATAAATTATGGGAGCATTTTATATATGGCAAATCGACATATCAACAATCCCAGAACTCTATTGAAACATTTCAAGCAACATGGTTCCCAGTTGTCCAATACCTTGCAAAAGAAGAAATCATTCCGAGAAATGAACACCTCAAGGACCTGCTTCACTTCTGACACTGAAGTTGATACCTACGACAAAATTGTAAACAGACACTCTATTCAGCCATGCACATTATACGTTGCACAGTTGTTGTATAATGCTCATTTGCAATTCTTTCATGTATCTGTTGTTAACCTGTTTTATTTTGATGTTTTGTAAGTAAGTAAAAAATAATAAAAATTTAAATAAAAAAAAATCTGTTGATCTTTATACCCTATCATGACAATATTATGGTCTGGAGTTCAAGTAGGGTTGCCAGCTCCAGATTGGGAAATACTTGGAGATTTTGGGAGTGTCCTGTCCTGAAGGACAGGGACTTCAGGGGGGGATAATGCCATAGAGTCCACCTTCCAAAGTAGTCATTTTGTACAGATGAACTGATCTCTATCAGTTGTAAATGCAGGAGATGCCCAGCCACCACCTGGAGGCTGGGAACCCTAAGATCAAGGCAGAGGATTCCATCAACACATATAGTCTGGCCCTTTGAATAATCTCTCCTGATTTTAAATTGAAAGTTCAAGAAATATTTTAAAACATATAATTCTGCTTTTGTGAATTGCCAGGATTATTGCTGCTGTTTCATTGATAGCCTGTGTGGGTCACAGAATACAGGGGGCCTAACATGAGTTCATTAGGGTTGAAGCGGAATTCTGTATAAAACTGCATTAGGCTTCAAATTAAGAAATTGCGCAAATGCAAAATCATGTTCCAGGAATGCATCTCATCAATGTCTTACGGTTTTGTCTGTTAGCTTACCAGATCCCAACTAGGAACTGCTTTATTGTTTATGCAGTCTTAAATCTACAAAACCTGTGAGCCAATGTGACCGTAAGCTAAGTATACATGGAAGCAGCATAGCCAGCTGTAACTGAACACACATAAAGCTGCCTTATACTGAATCAGACCCTTGGTCCATCAAAGTCAGTACTGTCTACTCAGACTGGCAGGAGCTCTCCAGGATCTCAGGCAGAGGTCTTTCACATAACCTACTACCAGATTCCGTAACTGGAGATGCCAGATATTGATCTTTGGACCTTCTGAATGCCAAGCAGATAATCTACCACTGTGACACAGCTCCTCCCCTGAACTAGAACTTGAAATAAGTTAGAAATCCAAAAGGGTAGGTAAGTCTTCTGTGTCTGAGCCAGGAAAATGGCCTTTACAGCATGATTCCTCCTTAGAATTTGGTGCATTCATGACCATCTATGTGGCAACAGGTAGTGTGGGGTGGAGGACAGTAAGGCACTAATACCACTGAATGGCAGCTGAGGGGAACTGGGGTTCATGACAGGGGCAGGGGCAGCAGCAGTCAGCTTTACCAGTAATATCATAGGTCCAGTGCCAACACTGCTCCTTCCTTCTGCTCCACCTCGCTGCCCCTGCCTTCCAATGACAACCCCCCCAGTCATCACTAAGCAGCGCCTTCTGCTCCACATCACCAGCCCCCACCTTAGCTATGAATATGTAATGTAGCCTAATGCAAGCCATTTTATTTCCATTCAGCAAAACAGAGGTTTGGGGGAGTGTCTGAGTTTTCTTTTTTCATTCTTAGAATGGTCACCATAAAATGTTGGCATTTCACTTCATCTAAAATTATCCCCCGTTACATGAATATGTGAATATATGAGCGGGTAGCTATTATTTCATTTTTCAAGTAAAATTGTCCATATTAACCAACTATTCTTAATGCTCCAAAATGGGGGTAGTTGCCAGCCCTCCCCATCCTGCCCCTGTCATCTATCAGCTGGCCAGTAGGGGGACTTACCAGGAGAAAGAGGAAGGTGACATCACACCAGAAGTGATGTCATCACACCAGCGACTTTCAGGTGTTGCTCTGGTATTTGGGCCATTTTTACCATAGAGTTTTTGCCCAAATACCAAAGCATTGCTGCAGTGTCACAGCATGATGATGTCACTTCTTTCTCCTGGTAAGTCTGCACCCATCCCCCACTGGTTGCTAGGAGGGACCTGGCAACCCTGGGAGGGGGAGTTATTTACTGTTACTGAGAAGCAGCTCTGACAAACCAGCTAATTTGTGTTCAGAAGTCTCATGGTTGTACTGCTTTTCATTCCTTGGTTTTACGGGGAGAAATAAATACAAAGAAAGCATCCTGACCCAATCCTCTGAAAATGTGGCAGTGTAAAATTAACCATAAAAGAAGAAAACTCCCAGTCTTGTTTAAAAAAAGTTTATTAAACTAGACTTGGTTGTTCTAATTCTTCACACTTGTGCAATGTCATGGGTGTGGGCTGATGATGGCTTGAGGGCTGAGGTAATGCAGCCAACAAAAATGCATGTTCTTATGCTTTCTGCCATGAATGAATCTAGGAGTACAAATTTAAGCAATAAACTCAAAGGAGGTCTCTTTTCCCTGGAACACAAGGCAACATCTTTTTCCAAAGTTGTATTCTGGGAAGAGTCTGCTGTTGGATCCACTAAACCCGTTTCCCACTTCACAACAGACTCCCTGTGTTGTGCTCCTGTCTTTTACAGCCCTGGTTTGTGGGAGTAGTTTTGGGCTTTGCATGGGGTCGCCGTGCTAGCCTATTCAGCCTGGACTTGCATGAACGTTACTGATGCACCTGGCCAGAGGAAGGACCAGCTTAGTGATGTGGTTCGTAATGGATCACCATTTCCTGATTGTGTTTTTAAAAGTCCAGCAACATGGTCCCTTCTCTAATTATTTTTAAACCACCATTGCAAAAAAAGGAAATGAGATCAGGAAATCTTTAATTAAAAGTCTCATTATAATAAGAGAAAAGCATGGGCTCATCTTTTTTGGTTTTGTTAAGTCCGGCGCTTAACAATGAGTCGGAGAGTGATTCAGCAAAAGACTCAAGTTTATTCAGCTCTTTCTTCACTTCTTCGACACGGTACAACATCTGATAGCCCGAACAGTTTGCCCATTGAAACTGCCCGGTATTTAAACATTCCCGGCTAACATAGCCACTCCCACTATACACATAACAACCTATCAGGTTGAGCGCATAAGGACCAATCATCCTCGTTCCCGCTTGTCGCTAGCTTGAACGTGATTGGACCAGTAGTCTTGGACTTGAATCCTCAGTCCAAGACGAAGCTTTGCATGGCTTCGCTATGGGATGTTTCACCATAGGTCCTAGTGTATCATGGCAGCTATGAATACACTACAATTCCCTCCCCCCTAAGCAACAATTTCCCCCCTCAGGAACAATCATAGTCACTTAGGTACGTGGGAGCTCGTCTCGTTCTCTGAGACCTTCGCGGTGGCTCAGGCTCGTAGGCCTCAGGGCACATTTCCATCAGTGGCACTCCGCTTGGCTCTGGGGTCTCAGAGTCAGGAACATTCCCGCCCGTTGCTGGTAGCTCAAGATTAGGGGTCTGCCCTGTCTCTTGACTACTACTGTAGCCCTCAGGCTCTACAGTACCTGCCTCTGCTAGAGGCCTTGGGAATTCCTCTGGAGACACAGCCGGCTGCACAGTGGAACGGTCAGTTGCCCACCGCTGCCTCAGCTGGTCTATGTGCCTACGCCACTTGCGTCCATCTGCAAGCCGTACCACATACATTCTAGTACCGATAACATCGGTGACAGTGGCTGGAAGCCACGAGTGACCACTGGCATAGTTACGAGCATACACTTGCTCACCCTTTTCGTATGTCCGGACCTTCGGACTCTCGGTCTGTGGTTGTGGTTTCAGATCGTTCAGATCTGGATGCAACCTGTCTAATAGCGTTGCTAAACGGCGACCCATTAACATCTCGGCCGGGCTGCGGCCTGTCGCCGAACAAGGGGTAACATGTTGTCTCAGGAGAAACGAAGCTAGTTTCACCCCCCAATCACCACATACCAGCTTTGCAAGGGCTTCTTTAGTTGTTCTCACCATTCTCTCGGCCTGCCCGTTTGAGGCCGGATGAAACGGCGCGGCCGTCATTTGCCTGATCCCGTTATCAGACAAGAACCTCCTGAACTCCTCGGAAGTAAATTGTGCGCCGTTGTCACTCACGAGTACGTCAGGCAACCCGTGAGTGGCAAACAACTGTCGCAGCACTGTGACGACAGCGCTAGAAGTGGTCGATCGCATGTGAGCCACTTCTAACCATTTGGTATAAGCGTCTACAATTACCAAAAACATTTGCCCTTGTACTGGCCCTGCGAAGTCGAGGTGCAATCTCGACCAGGGCTTTCCCGCCGACTCCCATCTCTGAGGAGTGGCGGTTGGTGGTTCAGGCCTAGCCTGCTGACAAGGCTCACACACCCGAACCCACTCTTCAATGTCGGCGTCTAGCCTGGGCCACCACACGTACCCGCGAGCTAGCGCCTTCATATGGACCATGCCGGGATGGCCCTCGTGAAGTGATTTCAGCACTTTTTCCCTGAGTTTGTGAGGGACCACCACCCGGCTTCCCCACAAAAGACATCCCTTTGACACAGACAGCTCGTTTTGACGCATTTTGTAACACGCAAATTCTGGCTCCACGGAGCCCACAGGCCACCCCCTCCAAACCCAGTTCAAAACCCTGGAGATCACAATGTCTTTAGCGGACGCAGCCGCAATGTCCTTAGAGGTGATCGGAGCCTGGGACAGTTCATCAATCGCTAACACCTCGCTAGCTGGAGCTGGGTCTGAGTCCAGGCCGGGCAGAGGGCAGCGACTCAAAGCGTCCGCGTGACCAATCGCCTTACCCGGCCGATGTTCCAGGTCGTAATCGTAGGCGGACAGGAACAGAGCCCACCTCAGCATCCGCGCTGACATGATGTTGGGAAGTTGCCGGTCCGGGGCAAAGATTCCCAACAGGGGCTTGTGGTCGGTGACAAGGAGAAACTTCCGACCATACAAAAAGTCATGAAACTTTTTAACTGCTGCAACAAGCGCCAGTCCCTCCTTGTCGATCTGGGCGTACCCCTTCTCCGCGCTTGACAGTGAGCGGGAATAAAATGCTACGGGAGCTTCCTCGCCGTTTGGCATCAAGTGGCTGAGCACCGCCCCCACCCCATAAGGAGATGCATCCGCAGCCAACACCAACATTTTATTATCATCGTAGTGAGTCAACACTGCATTGGACACCAGTAATGCCTTGACTCCTTTGAACGCCCGTTCCTGCTCTGACCCCCACCGCCATTTTGCCTCTTTGTGCAGGAGGGCATGTAGTGGGGCCGCTACCGACGCCTTGTGGGGGAGGAAGGCGTGGTAAAAATTGAGGAGTCCAAGGAATGCTTGGAGCTCCTTTTTGTTCCCTGGACATGGGGCATCCTTAATTGCCCTCACCTTGTCCTCTGTGGGGTGGACACCATGTTCGTCGATCCTGAACCCCAAAAATTCCACACTGGGAACACCCACTATACATTTGGACTGTTTCACCTTAAGTCCCGCTTGAGAGAACCGTTTCAGTACCTCTCGAACTCTGCTCATGAGTTCCTCATCGGACCTCCCAGCCACCAACACATCGTCAAAATAAGGGACAGTCCCCTGAACTCCCCTCAGTAACCCTTCCATGAGGCCTTGGAACACTCCTGGAGCCACGTTTACCCCAAACTGGAGCCGGTTCACTCGAAAAGCCCCTCTGTGGGTGACGATTGTCTGCGCCTCAGCCGCCTCCCTGGTCACAGGCAGCTGTTGGTAGGCTTGGGCGAGGTCGAACTTTGCAAACACTTTCCCCCCTCCCAGTGACGCCAGGACGTGGCTGATTACCGGGACAGGGTAGGAATGCTGCTGCAAGGCACGGTTGATCGTGCACTTATAGTCAGCGCATATTCGGATGGAGCCATCCGATTTTACTGGCGTGACTATAGGCGTCTCCCATTTGCTAAATGGGACTGGCTCCAATACTCCTTGGGCTATGAGCTTGTCCAGCTCGGCTTCGATCCGTGGTTTAAGCGGGATTGGCACCTTCCTATACTTCAACCGTATAGGTGTCACAGATGGATCGAGCTCAAAAGACACAGGGGGCCCTTTGTACTTTCCCAGACCGCCCCCGAACACATCAGGAAATTCCTTATATAGTACAGCCCATTTATTTTCCGATACTGCATTCACTCCAGTAAGTGCTATACCGAGTGGTTCAAACCACTCCAACCCAAGTAAATTCACCCGGTTACCTTCGGCAATCAAACAAGACAATTCAACACATTTCCCTTTAAACTCGACCATGAAGGTGTCCCTCCCCGCCAGAGGAATGCGCCTCCCCTGGAAATCGGACACCTGCGTTTCAGCGGCTTTCAAACGCCGCCGGCTCCTGGTCGGGAACATGCGCTGCCAGGTGTGGGAGGACAGGACGGTCACGGACGATCCGGAGTCGACCTCCATGCTGCAGGGCACTCCGTTGAGGTAGACTGTGACGTGGATCTTCCCCGTCCCTCCGACTCGACGAACCGCAGGCTTGGTTGACAGGCTCGATGTCGTCTGACGGTCGTCCTCACGATGTGCTGCTCGTGAGCGTTGATTCCGGGGTGATGCTTCTGGCGTGGACCTCTTAATTGCTCTGCAGGCTCGAGCGATGTGGCCCATTTTGCCACACTTACGGCAGGTGACGTCTTTCGTCCAACACTGCTCACGTGGGTGCTTCCCGCCACAGCCTGCGCAGGCTGGGCTGGTCGAAGTCTTCACTGGGGTCCGCTGGTCTGCTTTCTTTTTGACGATGCAGACGTCACTCAGCTTACCCTCGCTGTCACTGTCGGCCCCCTGGTGGTGAACGCGCAGCTCCGTCGCTGCCAAACGCTGACGCACCTCTCGGGTCGACTTGTCGGCTGCTTCCGCGGCGATGGCCTCGTCATAGGCAGCTGCCCAGGTCAGCTCCTTTCTAGCGAACAGCCTCTGTTGCAGCCGGTCGTCCCTCATACCGCACACGAGCCGGTCTCGGAGGGCCTCTTCCACATTCGCGAAGTTGCAGGGCCTTGCCGCCTTTCGTAGGGCAGCCACAAACTCCGCCACCGACTCGCTGGCCGCCTGACCCCTCTTGTAGAAGGCATGCCGGCACGCAATCTCCGATGGCTTCGGGGAGAAATGTGCCTGCAGCTTCTCGGTCAGGTCCTTGTACGAGACGGTCGAGATGTCCGCTGGTGCCACCAGGGACCGGGCGATGTCGAACACGCTCTTTCCGCAAGAGCTCAGGAGCGTCGCCCGCTTCTTCTCCTCCGTCGTGATGTCGGAGGCTTCGAGGTGGAACCCGAACCTTGACAGGTAGGAGTCCCAGTCCTCGGTCGCTGGTTCGAAGGCCTCGAACTTCGGGCTATTGGCCATCGTTGCAATCGCTGCCACCGGCTCTGGTGGTGCCCGTTGCTGACTGGCCACGGCGAGCTGCTGCTCTTCGTTGTCCGTCGTGGGTCTGGGTGTAGCGGGGCTGCCTACCCGCACTAGCATCCCACCTTCGTCGCCAATTGTTAAGTCCGGCGCTTAACAATGAGTCGGAGAGTGATTTCAGCAAAGACTCAAGTTTATTCAGCTCTTTCTTCACTTCTTCGACACGGTACAACATCTGATAGCCCGAACAGTTTGCCCATTGAAACTGCCCGGTATTTAAACATTCCCGGCTAACATAGCCACTCCCACTATACACATAACAACCTATCAGGTTGAGCGCATAAGGACCAATCATCCTCGTTCCCGCTTGTCGCTAGCTTGAACGTGATTGGACCAGTAGTCTTGGACTTGAATCCTCAGTCCAAGACGAAGCTTTGCATGGCTTCGCTATGGGATGTTTCACCATAGGTCCTAGTGTATCATGGCAGCTATGAATACACTACAGGTTTTGCTTTGCTTACAAGTGTGGAGTGCTTCTATCATTATTATTATTACTACTATTTTCAATTCCACTAAAGCACAGAAGAGAACTTGTGCCACTGCAAGTTATTAGTTCAATGACTGAAGATACAAAGGATAACTAGGTGGAGGGAGCAAGAGCCCATAATGCATTTGTGTTTGTCCATATAAGAAAGACTACACTTGAGGAGGGTAAAAGAAACAGTAGAACCAGAAGTGATGCCCTCCTAGTAGCTATGTTGACTGACTACTAGTAACCCTAGATTTCAAGGTGTAAAACCTGGAGCTTGCCCTGATGTGGAGAAGAAGGGGGCAGTAGTAAGCTCTCTCTCTCTCTCTCTCTCTCTCTCTCTCTCTCTCCCCCTCCCCATCTCCATCTCCATCTATATGGGAGAGAATATTTTCAACGTGTAACTATGGTCCTTTCCACACTAGACCTTAAATCCTAGTTCAACCCTGTCCCCGAAATTACATTCTACACAATAAAGTTCGGCTTTGTAATTATCTCGAAGTATATTTACATTCTACACTACACTCAAATTCACCTCTGTAATTATCTTGGGGTATTTTTTGTTTCCACGTTACATTGAAGTCACCCCAGTTTTGCCCCACACTTGTCCCAGGATAAAGGGATGCTGTTATAACCAGGGATAAATGCAAAGTATTGTGTCACAAGTTGAACTCTGATAAAACCAGGGAAGAGATTGGAAAGGACCTATAAATACTAAATACACCAGTTTGGTGTAGTGGTTAAGTGTGCGGACTCTAATCTGGGAGAACCGGGTTTGATTCCCCACTCCTCCACTTGCACCTGCTGATGTGACCTTGGGTCAGTCACAAGCTCTGGCACAGCTGTCCTTGAAAAAGAGCAGTTTGTGTCAGAGTTCTCTCAGCCCCACCCACCTCACAGGGTGTCTGTTGTGGGGAGGGGAAGGGAAAGGAGTTTGTAAGCCGCTCTGAGACACCTTTGGGTAGTGAAGGGCGGGGTATAAATCCAATCTCTTCTCTTCTTCTTCTTCTATCTGAGTGCTATGGGGAAAATGTGCATGCACATTTACCCACTGCCTTCTTCCTATATTCTATCCCTCACCTCAGTTGGAGAAATGTAAGGTTTCGTGCCCAAGGATCTGTGGCTACCAGGAGCGAATCAGAGTATACATCAGACTATTGTCACCCTTCTCAGCTGGGAGAGTCCTCAGCAGCTGGGCTCCCCTCTGCCCTGCCAATCCACTCCATTCCCCACTGGATGGGAACTGAGCCTAGCTGAGGTTCTAGTTCTAACTTCTCTTCCCCAGTTCTCAGAGATTGCCTCATTCACCCTTTAAAAACAAAAAAGAAAACTTTTTATCTTTCTGTCCGCCACTCACTCCATCTTTAGTGTAACTGACCATTAAATTAATCATTCCAGGTCTAATTTCCTCTTTGCTACATCTGCTGGAGTACAGGAGTGAAATAGCACATTCAGAGGCCTTATTGTGTGGGGAAGGGACATTTTCAGGATTTTAATGAGAAATATAACCCTGTATTATGTGCAGTGCAGAACCTCAGCTGTAGTTGTACTTCCAGATGTTTGCAGAAGAACAATCTCATGACAATGTGAAAGGATTCCCCTCCCCAATATGGAGGTAACAATAGACAGTGTGGGAGATTTCAGCTGGGAAAACTTGGAAACCTGTTCTGCCATGAGAGTCAGTGGCAAATCACTGCCTCTCAACCTAACTCACAATGCAGAGGTAGTGGGCTGCGTCCAGTGGAAGGGATTTCCATCAGCTGAATGAGACTTTCATGCCTCCCCCATCTTGCTGCATCCCAAAGGGCTCCCAGAAATGCTTTTCAATGGGGATAGGAGATTCAGAGTGTGTGTGTTTGTGTGTGCGTGCGCGCGCACACACACACACACACACACACACACTGCTATTAGTGGAAATCTACCACTGGATTTATTTAATTCATTTATACCCCCCTTTCTCCCCAATGGGGACCCAGGGTGGCTTACATCATTCTCCTCTCCTCCATTTTTTCCTCACAACAACCCTGTGAGGTAGGTTAGGCTGAGAGAGTGAGACAGGCCCAAGGTAACCCAGCAAGCTTCCATGGCATGAGTGGAGATTCAAATCTGGGTCTCCCAATACTAGCTTGACACTCTTGCTCACTACTCCACAAACCACAATACCATACTGACTCTCCATATTCAGCCCGTTGTGAGGTGGGGCCATGATAATTCTATGTATGAGGACCAGAATGCCTTAGAAGAAAGGTAAGAAATAAATGTGATAAAGAAATGAATAAATCAGGATCCTAAAATGACATACTTTTGACTCACAGAGAGAAAATATTATCAGGATTCAGCCGACATGACAACAGACTACTGCTCATGGGGAAAAACCGAGAGAAAGGGGGGAAAGTGCCATGTAAATAATCCCTTGGTGGTGTTAGCATGTAATGTATCCGCCATGACCACATGCGCGACCGTTGGGCCATGCGGTCAAGCACACGTTCATAGCTTCACACTTTCGGACAATAGCCAAAGCGGATCCTAGCCCGCACCAATCAGGGGGCCGGGTCCGCAGCCAAGAGCCTATGGACTCTCGGCTACTGTAAATAACCTATAGGGTGATTAGGGGCGTGTTTTGGTGGTGGGTGTTCTGTGCTTATATACCGGTCTGCGAGCCGGGTTACTTTGTCTTGTTCTGATCTAAATAAAGTACTCTTTGCTGAATCACTCCACGTTTCCGAGTACTTTTCATAGCACAATTGTTTCAGTTTCAATGAAAACACAGGAATTGGTTTGAGGTGTCACAGATGAGCCTACACACACTACTGAATGAAGAGAAATCAATTTATCTGCCATAGATGAATAAGGGGCTCAGTCACCTTGTCAGGAATAGAACCTGTGGTTCCAGGAAGTCTAGGTATTTCAGACCTAATGCACTGCTCTCTTAAAGGCTCCCTTCAGCACCCACTAATGTCAGTCAGATCTCTCCGTTGACATTGCTGAGAGCTTACTTAGGCTCAGACCAGGCCCTCCCACCACTCGTAACTTTAATAGCTGTCTTGTTCTTTCTCTTTAACTAAAGGAAATCTTCGCCAGTAATGCTGTGCCGCATTCTGGGGTTTGGAAAGGCGAACACCAACCTTGTTATATTAGTTTCTGAGAGCATTTATGAGAATTTTTGAGGGAGGGAAGCTGCAGCCATCCAATTACTGCAAAAAGGCTGTCTGTCAGACAAACCCTGTGCCTGAAATTGCTTCCAAACTGAAAGAAATGGGGAAGAAAAACAATGCCTTTAGAAGGGGGGGGGGAGCCCGTAATAATATTGAGACTTTAAACTGTGTGCTCGCACATATATGTACCAGTCACAGTGAGTAATTCTCACATAGATTTTAAATCAGAGACCGGGAGACTGTTAGGGTAGCCAACCATCTGGAGGTCTCCTGCAATTACAATTGATCTCCAGATGACCAAGATCAGTTTCCCTGGAGAAAGTGGTTGCTTTGGAGGGTGGACGGTATGACATTATACCCCAGTGAGGTCCCTCTCCTTCCCAAACCTCACCCTCTCCAGGTTCTACCTCCAAAATCTCCAGGTATTTCCTTAGAGACCATGGTTATATCTTCCTAGCATCTTTCAAAGCTCAATTACAGCCATGTAGGGCCTCAGATTGAACCAGGATTGTGCGGGGAGGGGAGACAGAGCTTCACTTTTCCACCACCACATCCTTTCTCTAATCAAATCAATTCTTCCAGCAGAGCTATTACTGCCCTTTAAAGAGAAATGATAGGCAAATACCGGTCCCCTTTACTTATTAATTTTTTTTCTATTACACATTTCTCAGAGGACTCAAGGTGGCTTACGTCACAGCATCAGGTTGCAAAGAACAGTTAAAATAATATCATTATGAACTTCAAGCTGCTGCCGTTACCCACAATCTTCTACTTTAGGAATTTCCAGTATGGACCCTACTAGTGCCATTGTGGCCACCAATATATGGAACTCCTTTGCATATTAGGCCACATCCCCTAATGTAGCCAATCCTCCAAGAGCTTACAGAGCTCTTCTTACAGGAGCTATTGTAAGCTCTTGGAGGATTGGCTACATTAGGGGTGTGTCGCTTAATATGCAAATGAGTACCTGCTACAAAAAGAGCCCTAATAGCATACACATCCTATGTCTGCAAAACATATCTTCCCCCACAACGAGGAACCAGTCCTGGCTTTCCTCCACCTCACTAGAGCAGGAAGGGCATCAGAAGAGCCCAAGAGCAATCACTCTTGTTTCTGCAGGGAGCACCCTTTCAGAAACAGTTCCCTCTTCCATCGCAGCCACTATCTAGGGTTGCCAATACTGGCCTCGAAAATTCCTGGAGATTTGGAGCAGTGCCTGGAGTGTTTGGGGAGGGGAGGAGCTCAACAGGGCCGTGGATGTGATTCCA